AGCATAACTGAAACACAAAGAGCCCGAGTTTGAATCAACAGGCTGCAAAGGAATAATGGTAAAAATGACTTTACTAGCAAAGGCAACACAGTGCCCTTTTCTGCAGCTTCAGTTAAAAGCCTGCTGAAGGGAAATTTCTAGGTCTGTAGGAGAGCTTACACTTAAAATTACCTGTGCCTGTGCTTAAGGTCTCTTCCAGCCCTTACCATAGGCTGCATACTGTATTTTGTGCCTTTAGCTCACTTGATTAAGCAGCTTTGATCTACAGTAGGCTCAGCATTATATGGCATAAATAGCTCATTTAATTTCTGTCAAAGTCATTTTCACAGTCAGGCTGATTGGTATCATTATAAAGATCTACTAATCACCAGTTTAGTTAAAAAAAAAAAAACATGCTCCACATACACCACCCCCTCCCCCAAACAACCACATGCTCTTCCCCATCAATATTATTGTGAATGTTTTTGGAAGCATTTGAATGTGCCCTTGAGGTTTCTACAGAATAAGAAGTTTGAAGAAACAGGTGGGAACGTCTAACAGTAGGAGGGTTTTTTCCCAGACGTCTGATACAAAGTGCAGTTCTGCATTAATTAGCTGGAGCTGCATTTGCCATGTTTCCCACTGCGCAGGCTTGTGGAGAGGGGAGTTGTTTTCACAGCAGGCAGGCAGAGGAGGGCCTCTCTTCATCCTAATAGTCACAGAACTGGGCTGACAGATGAGCAGAGACAGAAACCTTGGAGGCTCATTACCCAGGAGGCCTAACCATCTCTGGATAGATCTCCTTCCTGCCTACTGCTGAGGTGACTCTCTGTACCACAGCACCACACTGAGCTGTGATGTACTGTAGTGAGGCGAGGTTTCAACTGAATTTTGCTTAAGAAAAGTTCCTAAAATTCAAACTGAACTTCTTTTTATTCTCCACTATTTCATTATTTCTAGTATTTCCCTCTTTCTCATTATGTTTAAAGGCATTTGAAAACCCTGGTTAGAAACCTGGAAGAATCTAATCTGTAAACCATGCATCCTACCTACAGTATATTAGTGACTGTAAACAAGAACAAAATGTGTCTGAATTTTTACAAGTAGACAAATGTTCAGCTGTTAAAACACACACCTCGCATGTTTAAACCTCTTGTGTGGCATCAGTTTTAATCTGTTTTCAGATGGAATTATATCAGATAAAGAAGCTTCACTCCTGCTCTGCTGTCACAGTTGTGCTTTGCCAGTCTGAAGTTTGTCTTTGCACATGCATACATGTAAAAATGAGATTTGAAACCAGAGTTACATGTTTACATGGCAAAGAAATCAACTTTTTCCATGAGAAAGCAACTCAGGCAAGCTCTCTACTCCCTTCCATCAAATAATTGAAACACAGTAATATTTAAGAAATTTTTACTGGAAAAAGATGACTGTAACTCTGGTACTGAAATCTAACATTTCATGTTTAGTCATCCCCTTTGCAATGAAAAATAATGTTTTTTCTTATTTAATATTCCACATAACTGTTTCCATTTGATGTGTTGTGTCAGAGTTAGCCTAAAGCTAATTTACATCTGCAGTCCCTTGGTAGGTCACAATTAAAAACCTAAGCATGAAGACAAAACATCACTAGACAAACAAATCAAGACACAGTCTGCATGTTAAACCACACAAATCAGAAGCCTAAATGCAACTAAACTAAATGCAACATTTTTCAGTCTGACTTTGAAACCACTGTTGGCTGGCCTTCATGTCAACTGGTCGGGTGATGTGAAAATATTGACTCCTCAAAAACAGTGTGATGAAAGGGTACAGTACAATCTCTTAAAGAAGAGATTCTCAATGATTACTGTATACGGAGAGCTCTGAGTAAAAGCAAACAGTCAAATAATACCAGGGGAGGAGGCATTTTTGTACACAAGACATACATTTGAATATAATCTAAAATTCTCAAAGCACAAAAGTTAATGTTTCTCCAGTGTCCCAGGATGCTACAGTAATGATCTTGAATTGGCATATAAAATTATGTTTCTTCATGGTTCCAAAACTGATGCTGCTACTGTTTGTGTTGCATCACTTGGCTGCAACCGCAGCTGTGAAGGTAGTTGGTGACATTTAGGAAACAAAAGCAGGACACTTTAAAAATCCGACTGTAAGTCTGATGCTCAAGTCCATGTAAACACATTCACTGACTGACAGCCAGTGGCTGCCAAAGCCAAACAAACATCATTGATACGGCAGAAAATGCTGCCATTTTACAACTGAGAGGACAATTAATTTATCTTGACAGAAATCTGGTCTGCTCAGAGAAGCCAGTCAGCTCCCACTGCTGAGCCAGACAATGCATTCTCAAAAGCTAGATTTGGAGGCAGTAATACAGAGAGAGAGGTAGACAAAAAGAAAAGTAAAGAAATAGTGACACGCTCCCCCCCTCCTTGAACCGCCACCTTATTGTGGTGGAGGGGTTTGAGTACCCGAGTGATCCTAGGAGCTATGTTGTCGGGGGCTATATGTCCCTGGTAGGGTCTCCCA